GCTCCCGGTTAATTCAGTTTATAAAATTTGCTAATGATTACCAATGGAGTTTTATTTGCTGACTTTCCGGAGACACAGTTTCTCTTCCAGGGCACTCCGCAAGCGGTCGGGGAAGAGGTGAAACAAGTGGACGAGGACGTGGAGCTCGACGAGCGTCCTCTACGATCAGACGCCTATGCAGTGCGTTTTTCGTGACTTTTGGAAGTTGAAAAATTTATGCGGGAAAAACCAGATTTAAGATACTGGGAAATTTTAACTTAGTTTAATAATTTTTGAAGGCTTATTTTTCTGATGGTTTGATGAGCGAGGAAGTGCGTCCACCGGTTTATTCCGAGGAGCTTGGCGTCGCCATCGAGCAGCTGAAGCCTGGCTTCACAATTTCGGATCTCTGGCAAATTCACGTCGAATGAGCGCGATTTATTTTACTCTAAATTGACAGATTGAAGCATTCATGTTTTTCTTTATCGGTAAATAAAGTACCTGAAAAAGGGGCTTTTCAGCTGCTCATTTTGGGAAACTTCGCTGCACAAAATTCTCAGCTTCGTAACAATAAATAAAGCTTGTACAGTGATGAAGTGCAGCAGAATCACATTCTTTTTGATCAGACTTGTTATGGGGTAGTTTAGACCTTGTCAATCGAAGCGGTCCAGCTGTAATAGATTGGCGTAGGCAAAAGCGAGTGTATAGTTGCAATTGAGTGTGTGACTCTATTTCTTCTGGAGAAAAGTAAAAGTTTCAAAAATAAGGTATCTGTAGCAGTTGCAGCAGCAGTTGTTACAGTTCTTTGCCGCTCTTCTCAATTATCACAGAGCTTTGCTTTACGTAAATTAGAATATCGCTTATTATCAAAAGTCGTCCAAACAAACAGTTAGGTGGGGCCATGACGGCCCTCACAAATTTGGGTTATTAAACCGAATAAAAAGAAATATTTACATCATTACACAACATCACTATGCAGCTGAAATTTATCACACCTATAACAGTGCTATCAAAACGCAATTTCAAAACAGTACTATTATCGTTATTACCACCTCTATTTGCACTTGAAAGCTAGGTCCTGAGCCAAAGGCTACTTTTAAAATTATTGGCGACGCGCACTGGGCGGGCTCGTGCGAACATGCATTTTTGCAGTGTTTCGTGCTGTAGTAAGATCACTCAAATTCCGCTAGCTAGAAACCTCTTGTACATAATGGTCCTCGAATCTCGGGAAGTTAATTATCCACGCTACATTTGGACAGGGAACATCCCCTCGAAATCTCAGATTCCCAGCTTTCTCAGTTCCCGAGTTACATAGATTCCAGTCAGAAAATTTCACGAGGCCGTATGTGGCAACTACGCATAACGGGGGGCTGAATTTGATAGATTTAAGTTGTAGATGGGTTGGGAACATTTCCTTAAAGTTTCAGCCTTTCAGCTTCTCTGATTCCGGAGTCAGCCATTTTCCCGCCAAAATTTTCACAGGGCCGTACGTGGCACCCATTCATAATGAGGGGGCTGAATTTGGTAAATTTAAGCTGTAGATGAATTGGGAACATTTCCTGAAAGTTTCAGCCTCCCAGCTTTCCTGGTTCCGGAGTTAGCCATTCTCCCTCCAAAAATTTTCATGGGGCCGTACGTGGCAACCACGCACAACGGGGGCTGAATTTGATAGATTTAAGTTGTAGATGAGTTGGGGACATTCCCTGAAAGTTTCAGCTTCCCAGTTTTCATGGTTCCCTAGCTAGCGATTTTCGCGTCAGGAACCTTAACGGGGCCGTGCGCGGGGCCACTAACCCCCGGGGGCTGGATTTGAAATCTTTGAGTTCTACTTGGACTGAAAACATAATCCCAAAATTTTAGCTTTCTAGCTTTTCTGGTTCTCGAATTAGCGATTTTCCCGCCAAAACTTTGAGGCGCTCGTAGGCGGGGCCTAGACGTACTTGAGGATTGGTACCGCTGTCCTGGGTGGCACTTGCCCGGGGACCGACTCGCAAAATTTTGGCGACGGGGCTTGCTTGGGTGCCGAGTTGAAACACCCGGGCAGACGCACACACACACACACACAAACACATGCACACACACATACACGCATACACACCGGGGTCGCCACAATATGTGTTTTTGCATATTATACAAAAACGCATAAAATTTATTCACCCAGTGAGTTCCGCATGCAATATTCATTCTTACACAATATTTTGCAGCGATAATCCATTACTATTGGAGTCAGCACGAATAGCAGCCCCCAGCAAGGCTGCTTAAGAATTCCTTGGGAAAGAAACTGGAATTGATTTAAGCTCCATAGCAATCTGTCAGTATTTTAGTACCAAAATGGCAATAATTTTTTCAAAAATGAATGCTCTTACATGGCAGAGCATAATGTTTTACCGCAAAATTATTTATCAGCTCACTGCATGTAGTGTAGCGTGCGAAACACATGCCGAATCGGCAACCCCGACTCTCTTTGCACAGTTTTTGTCTAGGATGGACAGATTCTTGCTTTCTTATTGAATATCTTGCCATTATAATGGTCGAGCAAAGTCTACAACGAGAGAAGGGGTATTTGATGAATACATCCAATCGTGGATTCATCTCTAAGGATTGTTCATCTTCGCACTCCTGGTTTGTTACGCTGCAAGGAAGATGCTGCCAATGTTCGTCTCGGAATGCGTGGCTTTATTTCAGTTGAATTTTTCAGGCGCTTGTCGGGAAATGAGTGATGACAGAGGACTTTAGGCTTAGTTTTGAAAAGATTGGTATAAACAGAAATTTTGGAAGCCTTGTGTCTTCTTTTGTTAATCGAGAGCAAATATTTTAAAAGAACACGTTCCACTGGTTCTCCTGAAGGCTGATTCTCTCAGATCCTAGCGATGGAGAAATAAGCTAACATTCACAAAAACATTTGACACGAGGAAGGGAGCAGAGGAGAGGAGTGAG